ACAACAAAATCACTTAGCATTCTGGAACACGCATAATCTGAAAAGCCTTTGATTTCGGTCATTGGAGTAAATGGCTGTAGGAAGAATAGAATAAATACAAGGAAAAATTGCTTGCTAAGCTGTTACTATCAGGGAAGCTTATGTTGTTTCAAATATATCTTTATCACACTATTCTGTAAAAATAAATGTGTGGTATATATTTATAGTCTTTAATTTTATTTAAAGACTGTGTGAAAGGCAAGGAGAAAGTGAAAATGCATGAATGTGCCAATTTCTCCTTCAAAGCATCTTCTGTAAAATACCTCACTCCATCTCTGGCAGTGTTCTCCATTTCCACACACTACCTACATTATTATGATCTGGAGAAACTGATGAAAAGAAAACAAAAATCAAGGATTTCCTCCTTCCTTTCCCAAGACTTGGCACTGCAAAATTTAACAAAACATCTCCACAACCAATGAAACTCATTCATAAAACAATCCTAATGAGGTGCATCTTATTTAGTAATGCCAGTAATGTATCAATCAATCCCCAAGAGGCATTCAATTCTCCTCGCTTCTTTATACCACCCAAAGAAAAAGAATCAATAAAGAGGACATTTTAAACATATCTAGCTGACGCCACTTTAAATCCACCTTTCTGATTAAAGACATATGATTAATTTATATCAATTTCACAAATCAGATAATTTCCCAAGTGAAGCTGTATCAAATTATGACATTCATACAACCTATTCACTGTTGAAACTAGTTAAGAAACTATTATGTAAGAACCAGGATCTATTAAACCAGAATTAGAATGGGGATTCTATTCCCAAGATTCATGATGGACAAAGGCAGAAATGTTAGCTAATATTATTTATTTATTATTGTTGTTTACTTATTTCCTCCCTTTAGATTGCAAGCTTCATGTGAGCAGAAACTTTGATCATGTGCCCACCACTGTATTTCCAGCTTGGAACAATATCTGGTCCAGAGTAGATTGCTCAGTAACTATTTAACTGAAGAATGCATTTAGCATAATGATGTGAAACTTCTATGACTGAAATGGACAGACATAGTCTCTTGGGTAAGGGACAGGGCTGAAACATTTAATAGTTGAAATACCATTAAACATCTATCTCCAGTGCTCAGCTCAGCTCAGTCTTGAGACTCCATACGTTCACGTCAAAACTTGCACCGTAAACACAAGCTTGCTTAGCCAAGATCAAAAACAGTTCTTTGGTGAATACTGACTATCATCCTAAAGTAGATTGAAACTGCATGCACCACAGTCTACTGACAGAAGAAACAATTGAATTGAGGCATTCTTTCAGGCTGCACATTGGGAAAATAGAAGAGCTGAAGCAATCTGGATCATAAAGAATACTGCTTGGTTTAACTAGGCAGTGGCAATCTTCCAGTGATTCATCCACTTCATTACATTGTTATTTACTAAAAAGAATGCACTGTATTATATTGCAAAAACCAGGGTTGTCAAGAGAGATACTATAATTTGCATTATTAATGCACTACACTATCATGTTGGGAAAAAGTCCATTTTTCCCCCCTAGAAGTGGACAGAACAGTGAGAAATTAGATATTTTTAAATAAGTGGACTTGTTCTTTGCTGTATAGTTTACTTACGATCTTATCTGGAATATTTAACTAAATATCTTCCTGTTTTTCTCTAATCTGGCCTACTCCCTTTATAGTTTCCTGGTTGTCATAAAAACATTGATTATATTGTCATTGTAGAAATATGATATAATTAGAAACACTAGTAGAAATGAAGCATTCATTCAGATAAAGTAGGCACCAACTAACCCACTACTTTTTTATCTTAACTGTCTACCTTGGGTAAAGATATGTTTTTTGGCAGGTTAAAGTATATGAGAGGATGGTTAAATGGTATTTATATTCTCCATCTTTTCATTAGATGAGATTACATCTTAAATGACAAGAACAGTATTAAGTATCTTAAATATGTGCTTATTTATAAGTACTAAAATCTAAAATAGAACTTCAACATTCATTGTCTGGCACTTAAATGACTGTTTTACAGTTACTACATTGATCACAATAATCAAGACACAGTGATTGTATTATAGCAGATAGCTACATTGCTCTTCCAGACTCACAGGCCTAAGGTCTGAGCAAAATGATCCTTAGCATCACATTCAGGGACATAGTGAAGGACCTGAAATCCAGCTCAGTGACCCTTACTTGCTGAAGTAGATTACTTGCCTTCTGAGCTTCAGTCCATTTTTGTGAAATGGAGCCCCCGCCTTAGGGTCCTTGTGAGAATTAAAAAAAGATAATAGAGGTGAAGACTGTGGCACAGGGCCTAAACATATGAGGATCTCCAGTAAAGGAAAGCTAGGGTTGTCATCACTACAGGAGTGCTGCTGACCTTGAGGTATCAACCACTGTGGCTGCAATTTCAGTGCGCTCTTTGTTGTCCAAAGTGTAGATTAAGCAGGAGTTTTAGCACCAAGCCTGCTATATGCTGCATGTTCAATAATTATGACAGAATATTACTATTGTGTTGATATGCATGGCAAAGATCCAGAGTTTAATAATGCCTTACATTCTTGAAAGCAGCCTCAGACTATCAAGTCCAATGCCACGAGATGCCTTTTCTAGTAGGTTATGTGACAGCTCAGTCATATTTGTATTTTGGGGAAAGAGGAACGTGATGGCAGTTTAGTGGCTTTACCTTATGGAAAGCTGTTTCTTAGGAATAGGACTGTAGAATAGGATATGTGGCCCTAACCTTAGACAGAGGGACTCAGCAGCAGCAACAAAGAAAGTGACTCTGGATGTTATTCTTAATATATTTCTTCCCTTACTTAGGCACTTGTTGTAGCATTTCCTTAAGTCTTTCTATGAGTTCATCCTCTACTAATGCTTGCAGCAGGACCCTCTCAAAGTATAGAATAATCACAGCTAGATTTCTGAATGTAAGCCTCCCCATGAAGCCCAGAAAATTCCAGAGGCATCAGAAAGGCTGAACTAAATTTACCTAACTTGTTAAGGTTCTGTCAGGAAGGCTGGCCAGCATGCCATGATCTGTTGATAACTTTCAGGCAAAGTCACAATTCTCAAACAGCACTTTTACATTTCACACCCCACCCCCACAGCCCTCAAACCCCTTCTCCTTGAGGAACAATGAGTTGAATTATCACAAAAGCTGACTGGGTGTTGTTTTCAAAATCTCGATCTTTGCATCAAGTTTTAGAGTGGGAGACTAGCAGGTACTTAGGTGGAGGACATAGCTACAAATTTTCAGTTTTTCCTTTTCAAAATGTATATAAAGGAACATGGAACAGAGAGAAGAGTAAGAAAGTGAAAGATATAAAGATACATGGTCTTTCAATAACTGTATCTATTCATCATTTGAGCTGGGATTCAGTGAAGTATATGGAGATATACCTTACAATGGATGTGCTCAGCCAAATATTAGAGGCCCAGAACACTTTGTTCAGGACCCTCATTTTCATTTCATAGGCCATATATTGAGATCATGAAGAGCATGCAGTCAGTGTAGACAGACTGTTACTAGTTTTATTACCTCTCCAAACCTCAGTTTTCTCCTCTATAAAATGGGGATAATTGTGCCTACCTACCAAGGTGGATGTAAGCATTTAATGAATATTGATGCATTTAATGAATATTGATGCATAAAAAGCACTTGTTTATTGTGAGGTTCCAGGGAAAATAAAAATCTCTCAGCACCTAAATGTTAGGGAGGAAGAGGTTATAAGCATGAGTCTGCTGAGATTCTAGGATAGTCATCAGATTTATTTCCTTCCCAGTTGGACTGGAGAGTGAATTTATATGACTGTTTTAATTAGTTTCTTCCTTTATTAAATGGACTAATACACAAATACATAAAAGTTCTCAATATGTAGCCACTATTACTCTTACTGCTGTTATTACTTACTAGTTCAGAGAAACACCATGCCGTGCAGAAAAGAGAAAGTGGGGAAACAAGGAGGTTTTTCCTATTTGCTGTGGCCTAGTGAAGCCAGCATTCCTAAACACTTTGCATAATTTTTTATACTTTTTTCATTCCTTCATTGACCTCTGAACCCATAGTTTTTCTAAAGGCTACTGGTTTGTTTTTTACCCCTGTGTCACTGCCAGATTCTTCCAAGCATCTCAAACTATCTGGCTATCTGTTTCTCAAGATTTCTGATCTCTCTGATTGTGCATTGGTATACATCTACTACAAGTATCCTTAACTCTCAGGTCCTTGACCCCTGCCCTGGCAATGCTAGTTCCAGGAAGTGGGCTGCAATGTCAAGTGGGAAACCTAACCTCAAGGCATCTTTCCAGACCCCAACTGCTCCATGTTTGGCTTTAGTGAGAAATAATAACACTGACAACAGCTACTGTTTCTTGAGTGGATATCAACAGTTAGAGTTTAAACAATCTTTTGTTTAAATGGTAGGAAATTTAACAACCGAGGTAGACATCCCCAGAGTCAAGGCTCAGGACAGTGGAAATGATCAAGGCGTGTAAGGAAATGTCAGGTAAGGAGGATGAAAAAAGTGGCCTCAAACTATTGTGTTCCGTGGGGGCTTAGAATTGCATCATAGATGCCTCAGGGGCTACCTGGGGCTGTGCGTGTGTGTGAGAGAGAGACTGTTTGTCACACCACCTCCCCTTCTTCCCACCTCTCCACCCTGCTCCTCTTCCTCCTGCCCAAGGAAGGGGAGAGAAAGAAACTGAGAGCCTCCTACTCCTCCTGTTGGACTGGGGGTAGGGGTGCAGCCTTCAAGGGCCACAGTGAGTGATGTAGAGGAGGGCCAAGCTGAGGCATGACTCCTTGCAGTGATTCCAGGAGTCCACAGGGACTTTTTTTTAAAAGAAAAAGAAAAAAAGGCAGAACACTAAAGCCAAGAGCCTATTTTTAGAATTGCTTTGAGAAAAAGCAATTAAAATAAAATAAAAACAAATGTTTTCTCAAATACAATACTACCCCCATTAGTCCCTTCAGTAAAACATCAGGCTTACCTTGACATACTGTACAAGACGCTCGTTTACGTTTATTTTGTAAGTTTGTAAACCCAGCTCCTTAGATAATCTTAAGATTCTATTCTGGGTTGGTCCCACATAAGCCCCACCAACATCTACGTAATCAACATGTTCATTCTGTAGAAAGAGAAAAGTGGCCAGAAGACTTTAGTTAAAACTTGAAAAAAAAGTTTTCATGTCTTATAAAAAATTTATTTTTTTATAACTTAAATGTGCCTTACATCTCACCGACAAATTGCAACTGAAAATAGCAATCCTTTCACCTCCACTCAAGAACTGGGAACAACCCTATATGACATTCATCACCAAACAATCCCATTTGTATAGTTATTGATGAGGCTGATTCAGTAATAACATGCATAAAGAATAAAAAAAACACTGTGCAGTACATTCTACTGTTCTAGATCTTTTTCAAGACATTTAAGTTATTTTCTATGTGTTTCTTCAGGGTTGTTGCTAAGGGAGCCACCCAGAGATTTATTAGGCCTAATTCTCTGATTTTCAACAGATAAAATCTTAAACTGGCCCACACTGATGCACCCTTGATCTGATTTTAAAACACTTGCAGGGAACAATGCATCATAGGAAGAATATAAAAAGGTATAAAAATGTTCGTATACCTAGAAATTAGTTTATAAATACACGAGCCTTCCTTCTTTAACTGAAATTTACTTTCTCCCTCTTAAATGCAATTCTACATTTTTCCAGCATTTCTATTAACACATTCTCTAATGATTTAATTAATAAATTGAATATGGTGAGTTATAACTCCTGTATGTATTTGTAATAACTTCTTATGGATCTGTTTCTACTTTGTTGTTTATATCAGCTCTCATCCACATTGCCTATTCTTGTTTGCCTGATTATTTTTTATTGCATGCCACTCATTGAATTTGGAAAAGAATGAATATAACTTGAATCTTAGGAAGATATCTTTCTCAGAGAGGATTTGTCTGCTTCTGCCCAGTACCTGGGGATGCAAACAACAGCAGGTAACTTTATTGCATTTTCTGTGCCTGAAATGATTTGAAGTTGGGCTGAAATGCACGCATGGCCTAGTCCTTTTGCAGTTTGCCCTTAGTCCTAGGATGCAGTCCAACTCAAAGCACAAAGAGTTTACCAATACTTCCCTCCACACACACACACACACTTTACTGTACTCTGGACTTGACCTTCAGTTGCCCTAGATTTGTAAGACTTTTAAAAGTACTATTCGACTTCTCACTTGCTTCTTCAATGGTCAGCAAACTCTCCCCCCACACACCCTAACACTCACAGGGGAAGAGTAAGTCAATCTTTCCTTCCAAAGTTGGCCCAGTGATTCTTCGCTATCTTGTTAGCTCTCTGATGTTTTGAAGATTTGTGTGTGTGCGTGTGTGCGTGTGCATGTGTGTGTGTGTAGTGCAATTAGTCTAGTCTCTGTATACTTAGTGAAAGGGTTGGGACAATTTACCTAATCTGTTATTTACAGAAAATTGATTTTGGCTATGATTCAACTTTGCCTTCCTGGGGTAACCCAATCTGATATTATCTTTCAATTGCAGGATATGCTTTGCTAACATTTTGTTTAGGATTTTTGTATCTATGTTCATAAATGAGATTGAGATAGGCTCGTGATTCTCTTTATTCTACAGATCTTGTCTGTTTTTTTGCATTAGAGTATTGCTAATCTCATGAGTTAGTAATCATGCTTTCTTCTATTCTCTAGAAGAGTTCATATATAAATAAAATTGTCTATTCTTTGAACATTAGGTATAACACACCTGTAGAGCTATCTAGGCTCAGTGTTTTCATTGTGGGAAAAATCTTAAACTACAGATTCAATTTATTTTGAAGCTAAAGCACTACTCATATTTTCTATTTCTTCTTAAATCAGTGTTAATTTTGATAAGTTGTACTTTTCTTATAATATATGATCTTGTATCCCTTTTATTGTTTATTTGGGATGTCTCTTTTTTTCTTCAAAAATCTTATCAGATACTTGTTTATTTTAAATAAATCTGTTCAAAGAATCAACCTTTCAGTATTTAGTTTCTGTTAACATTGACTTATGCTCTTCTTTCCTTCTTTTTTGGATTTATTATACTCTTAATTTTCTAACTCTTTGTGTTCTTAGCTTATTCATACTGAGCTTTTTTCTCTTCTGTTTAGAGAATTATTCTCTAAATATTGTTTTAGCTACATTCACAACTTTATTGTAGTATTTCCATTACTGTGCAGTTTTAAATATTTTCAAATTGCCATTACAATTCCTCTCTAAATCCATGTTTCTAAAAATTTTGTCATGTTTTAATTTTCACAGCTGGAATGTTTTTAGTTATCTTTGTGTCATAATTGTATCATGGTCAAAGAATGTAGTTTATATGATAACAATTCTTAGGGCTTACTTTATGACCTAGCACATGGTCAATTTTCAAAAATTATCCTGCATGAAAAGAACACATAATCTAGATTTCATTCTTTTTTTTTATGGTTGAGTAATACTCCATTCATCCACTGGCGAACACCCAGGTTGCCTCCATATCTTGGCTATTGTAAATAATGCTGCAGTAACAATATAGAGGGTACTGTGTTGAACGAAGTAAGTCAGACAGAGAAAGACAAATGCCATATGATTTCACTTATATATGAGGTCTAAAGAACAAAATTAATAAACAAACAAAACAGAAACAAACTTATAGATACAGAGAACATTTTGAGGGTTGCCAGAGGGGGGTTAGAGGGATGAGTGAAAAGGGAAAGGGATTAAGTACAAATTGGCAGTTACGAAACAGTCATGGGCATGTAAGTTATAACATAAGGAATATAGTCAATAATAGTATAATAACTATGTATGGTGTCAGATGGGTACTAGATTTATCAGGGTGATAACTTTGTAAGTTATATAAATTTCTAAAAACAATGTTGTATACCTGAAACTAATGTAATATTGTATGTCAATTGTAACTGAAAAATAAAAAAATATTTTAAAAAGCATATAATCTATAAGAAGTCATATGCATATTTTATATATGTTCATTAGAATAAGATTGTACTCAGTCTTTTTTGTTTGCTTAATTTATTATTAACTTAGAAAAGGATGTTAAAAATCCCCTATTCTATTGGGCATTTATCTTTGATTCCTATTAATTTTTTGATTTGTATTTTGAGCTACTTTATTTAGTGTACACAAGTTCAATCTTTTGAGTCTTTTATCATTATGTACTGACACTCCTTTCAAAGAAATTTTTTGTTTAAAATTTATTGTCTGATATCAGTATAGTTATAACAACTTAGTATTTATCTTTTTCTATCTTTCAGTTAGTTTTCTTTTGACATTTTTATTCTTTTAATTGACAAGTTTAGCCCATTTATACTTATTATATATTTTTAAATGGCTTAATTTTACCTCTTATTTTATATTATGAATATTCATTTGTCCCACTTTAACAGTCCCCCTCCACCCTGATTCCTTTACTTCTTTTAGATTAAGGGTTTTCTTCTAAAATTTTTTCTTCTACTTGTTTGGAAGTTATACAGTCAGGCCAATTCTTTTAAACCTTTTCTAACTATATTCACATGCATACTTAATATAAAGCTTATCAATATATTATTAATATATTATCTTTCTACTGAAAAATATAAAACCCTTCGTGCTTCAAGTATGATTGCCCTTCTTTCAATCTGTAAAACTATAAAAGTACTTTGTTTAAGGTTTATTTGTCAGCCAACAATTTTGTCATTATTTTGTTTTATTCTGTTGTTGATGTTGCTGAATTTTATTTAAATATTTGCCGATGTCTTTGCTCACTGTCCTCTCTTGAATCTCAAAACTTTCATTTGTAATTATTTTCTTTCTGCTTGAAACACATTCTTTATAATTTCCTCCGATCTGGGTCCTAATCTCTCTACTTTTGTCAGTCTGACAAAAAAGATAGTTCCAGCAAGTAAGAAATTCTGGTTAGTTTCTCTTTCTCGGAATAGTGAAGATATTTTCCTATCTTCTGGCATCCATTTTTGCTGTTGAAGAGTCGCTTATAAGTCTAATTGTTAATTTTTTCAGAGTATGTAAATTAGTCTTTTTTTGTTTCTAAAAAATAATTGCTTATGCAACCTCTTTTCTTTGGTATAATATAACTTCTCTATGTCTGAGTGAGAATTTCTTTTCATTTATCATGCTTTAGACCTATTAGATTTCCAAGTGTCTTCCAACAATGTTGGAAAATCCTCAGTCATTTTTTTTTATACCATTGTAACACTATCTTCCATGTCTTAGCTGCTCCCCTCATACCCCCGGCAACATATTTTCCAGTCTTTATCTCTAAACTGCATTCTAGATAATTTTTTCATATCTAGTTCAGTCACTTCAGCTCTAATGTACTGTTTAATCTACCTGAGTGTTTTCATTTTAATTAATACATTTTCTTTTCTAGAAATTATTTTCTAAACTACTTGATCATTTTTTAGTTTATTTTCACCTGCTCCTAGTTCTAAGCACTTCTTTTCTTTAAAAAATGATAAACATTAATTTTTTATTCTGTGTACAATTCAACTCCTACAAAATCTTTCTGGATCATTTTTTTCTGCTTAATCTCTTTTAGTGCCTTGTTTCCCTGTATGTTTTGTCATTTTAGACTGTGAGTTGCTCATTTTCCTTGGAACTTTTTCTTTGTAAGTATTTGAGCCTGGGTAGAAAGGATTTTTGGCTAGCCACCTTGGCACTTTAAATATTTTGCTTAAGGTTTTTCATAACATAGAGGTAGTATAAATTCGGATGGAAACCATGAATGAGAGCAAGTTTTATTTTTCTCCCTTTCTAAGTAGTAAGATTTACTTCTCTTTCACTTTAACATACAAAATATATCACAGAGGATTCCAATTTGGAGTATTTCTTATTAAAATTCCCTACCTTCAACAGGTTCTAGATTTTGTCTCCTGTTCTCTGCACTACATACAGCCATCACAGTAGAACTGCAGAGTCTTCAGGATTCAGCGGGCATTCAAAGTGAAAGTCAAATTTTGAGCTTCCTAGGCTTTATGTTTTCACTTTGTTTTAAGAATTCATATGTTCATTAAACAAACATATCTTGAGCTCCTCCTACAAGGTGCCAACTACTTTTCAAGGAGCTTCTGTTACATAGGTGAACAAAACAAAGATCTCTGCTCTCAAGGAGCTTATATTTAGTAGGAAGAGACATAAAATGAACCACAGACATAATAAATATCTTAGAGTTAATAACAATAATGACAAAGAAAAAAAAAAAACCTAGAGTAGGATGAGGCAGACTGAAACTGCCAAGGAGAGTAGGGACGATTTCACTTTAAAATACAAGGGACATGTAGGCTTCCTTGAAAAGGTGATAATTGAATAAATACTTGGAGGAGGTAAGGGAATTATTCATATGCATATTTGGGACAAGAGCATTCCTGGCAGAAGGAAGAGCCAGTGCAAAGATTCTAAGACAGAAGTCTGCCTAGTGTGTTCAAGAAATAGGAGACCAGTGGGGCTAGAACAAAGTGAACAAGGCAAAGAGAATTGGAGATGAGGTTAGAGAAGTTACTGAGGGGAAGTCATGGAAAGCCTCACAAGGCATAGTAAGGTCACTAGCTTTTACTTTGAGTGAGAAGGAGAGCCTTTGGAAGGTTTTCAGCAGGTAAGTATCAAGGCTGATTTAGGTTAAGAAGGCTCATTATAAATGCTACACTAAGACTAGATTATAGAGTGCAAGGGTGAAAGCAGGGAAAGCAGTTAGGAGGCTATTGCAGCAATCTGCCCTAGAGATGATGGAGGCTCCCATCAGGTGGTAGCCATGAAAGTGGTGGGAAGTGTTGAATTCTGGATATATTTTGAAGGCAAAGCCAAAATAATTTCCTGATGGAATAAATGTTGAGCATGACTTCAAGTTTTTTTTTTCTTTTCTTTTTTTTTTCTTTTTAATTTGCCATCCTCTGATATGGGGAAAGCTGCTGGAATAGTGCTCTTGATGAAGATTATCACAATTTCAGTTTAGATGTGATAAGCTTGAGATATCTGTTCATCTAGAAGATCTACAAAATGTTTAACTTCCATGTCAGAGCAGCATATAGATTTTATTCAGCATTTTACTTATTTCAATGGGGAGAATTAACTAGGGTTTCCATTCTGTTATGATACCAGAAATGAAGTGCTCCTTCGACTTCTTTAATCTGTCCCTCATGTAACCCTTACATTCCCTTTTACTAACTATTGGTGCTGTCCTCCAAATCTTCTTTAGTCTCCAACATCCTGCTTAAGCTATGAATAACAAAACTGGCATGAGCACTCCCATAAATTTCTAGATTTTAACAAAGACAGCAAGAGAATTCTTGGGAGTTTTGAAATGTGATGCCTTTAGAACACTTACACTATCTTTAAAGAAAATGATTTAAGTGAAGTAGTAAAAAGTGTGAGGCATTTACAGAATATTTCTTTACAAAGTAAAACATTCTAAAAGAGGTGCCCCAGGTTCAGCATGAGGATACTAGAACTGTAATACCATATTCTGCCATGTTGCACCTCAGTCTTAATTAGTCAGCCTTGAAGAGGCTACAATCATGCAACCCTATTAGCTCTGCAGACATTTTAACTTCATTATCTCCAAAACGAAGGAATATTTTTCAGAAAATTATAGGAGAATCATATCTAATAAGGTTGTACAGGCAGAATATGTAATCCTTCTTTTGAATTACAACACACTGCCTTCAATTAGAAATTTGAGGTGAAAGGGAGCTTCAAGTACATTTCAATTGTATCTCACAGCTCAGATGAGAAAACTGAGATGTAAAGTGGTAATAGGACCTATCCAGGATAAGACAGTGTCAGGCCAGTACAGGGGCCAAAATCCCAGTCTCCTCACTCCCAGACCAATAGCTACATTTATTTCTGCTTACTGTTCCCACACTTCTTTTAAGTTGTAAATTCTTGGATAGATAAACAAGGAAGCCATACTAAGTGTGTGTGTGTGTGTGTGTGTGCGTGTTGGGGTGTGTGTGTTTGGTTGGATCATAACCCCACCTAGACACTACATACTCTATTTAGGTCTCCAGCATGGAAATTATGACATTATATTTAAGTTATTTGTTCACATTTGTTTTCTTCAGCAGAATGTAAGCTACTGAAGGTCAGAGGATGTCATTCTTTGGTGAATATTTAAATCACTTACCCTTACAGTGTATGTTCTACCTCCGACTCTGTCCCGGGCCTCTAAAACCAAAACATTAGCTTCATGTTCAGCTAACAGTTTAGCAGCAGACAATCCTAAAAGAAAAAAAAAAAAGGAAAACAAAATTGAGGAACATATTAACATTTAAATGTGAAACATCCAAGATTAAACCAGGTCTACACATAAAATGAACACAGGGCTTCCTATACAGTCCATTGATTTTGCTGTATTTCTAATATTCTGACCACACTGTGATTAATTGAACCACTAATTTTATAATGTATCATATATTACATTATGTATCATACTTTCATTATCATAGTTAGTTGACAAGATGTAATAATTTTTAAAACATATTTTTTAATTTTTCGATGATAACCAAATCATATTTAAGAGAACTTGTTGAACCCTTAAATCAACCTTTAATGTGCCCCTCTTCCAGAAATCCTGATTGTATAAACAGAAGAGTATGTTCTTCTGAAAACTTCCTCTGGCTAAACCAGCGCTCAGTATATCTGTGTTTTTCTCAACTTAAAATCCCCCAATAATCACTCCTATGGTTTCATATCTGTATTACATACTTGCTAGATTATGTTTTTCCCACTAGATTTAAAATTACCAAAGATAGGAACTATGCTTCATTCTTTATTCATTGGCTTAATGCCGAGAACAAGTTTTCACCCATAAATAAAAATTTTAATAGCAGATTGATTTTAAACCAGTATAATAATATCAGAAAAGTAGAGAAAATGTTGTGGATTAATATTATATCAAGGGTGCATGCTATCACCATGACTTACAACTGATGTTATTCTTGATCACCTGGCTGAGGTTTCTCTACCGTAAACATACTCTTTTTTTTCTCCTTTTCTATGCTGTACTCTTTAGAAGGAAGTCTATGCACAAGCTACATTGAAGAAGTGGAGAGTTATGTCCCACTTCCTTGAGAGTGAAGTAGTGACATAAATTATTTAGAATTCTTTTGCTCAGGAGATGTCTCTCCCCGCCCATTTATTTATTTAATCATTTATTTATATCAGTATGGACTCAATCGTTGCTTTTATAATACCATGTTATTTATTTTGTTGCTCAAATTGTTCCAGCTATGGTCATTGGGAGCTCTTTCAGTTGGCTCCTGTGTCCTTTTGACATGTCCCCATCATTCTGTGTGTCTGTTTGAACACTTCTTTAATTTCTGGTATTACAAGATGTTCCAACCTCATCTTGTCTTTCTCTGTCCTAGCCCTAGAATCAGTCATTTCTCCAATGAGCCTTGGTTCCTTTTATTACAGAATGGTATTAGAAATCAAGATCTGGGTTCTAGATGTTCCCATTGCTTCTGGGATGCTGTTGCTTCTAGGCCCTCTCTGCTCACAGAGTAAGGAAATATATGTGTATATACACTTTATTATTTTTTTCACATTAGAATTCTTCTTCATGGATGCTATCAAATACATATAGTGCTACCAAATTAACAGAAAACTTGTACCAAAGAAACATAGCTACACACTTATTTTTAAATCTACATTTTTTGTACTTCTAATGCTATTTTATACCTAATTGTCTTTTTAATCCTATTACAAAAAATATGGACTACAGAAATAAACATATTTCAAAGAAAAAAATGGTAGTTTGAATATTAGGATGAAAGAGAAATAAAATAACACCAGGGATAAGATTAGTAAAATTATATGAATTATACCTAAATATGTATACAAGTGGTTGTGGAGAAGAACTCTTCTAAGTGATTTTTAAACCTAGTAATTTGATAGTTTACTTCTAATGGTATATCTCATAAAGACAAAAAAGAACTGCAAATATTTTTTTTCAGTAATGACTTCATTGGTGCTAGTATTGTTGTTAATTTTTTCTTTTATTATTATGATTTATGCCTACAGCACCTGGTCTTCCTAGGTGGTCTCCCATCCAATTACTAACAAGGCCTGACCCTGCTTAGCTTCTGAGATCAGACATCGGGCTTGTTCAGGGTGGCATGGCTGTAGACCATGGACCAGGGCTCCACTGGGGCATGAACCCAGAACCTTCTGCATGTAAAGCAGACATGCTAACCGCTACACTATGGAACCACATTCAGTGTTGTTATTTTGAGGATATCATGTATGTAGTGTCTGAATACACTCAGACACTACATTCTGACTATATTCAAAATGTAAAAATCTGAAAACGGGAGAGTATTATGGCAAGACGAATCTTTAATAATTTTACAGTTTAAGTATTTTAAATAGGGGTGATGAGTTTAAAACAATACAATTCCTCTCCTGATTTCTCTCTCTTTGATCATTTGGGCTTTACAGAAACCAAAATAAAATAGGTTAATGGATTTATTAGGAAGGTTAGGGGGAAAAAAGCAATATGCTAAAAGCACACCTCATTTGAGAGTTCAGGCAATGGTAATCCTGGTTATTAGATCGGGAGAGCCTGGATGAGATGTATACAGCCAGCACTGGGGTTGCCATGGAAACCCTAAACCAAGCTCCAGCTTCTTAAAGCCACCGCCCATGGAAACTGTATTCCCATAGATTCTGCAGTGCTTCGAGTGTTCTGAAATAGCTATTGTCCCCATAAAAATGGTAC